TTATTACTACATCGCTCCACAAACAGAAGGCTGAGTGGTCTAAGATGTTTGCCGAGTAGGAGTAGATTTTAAGAGGGACAGATGCTTTGCAATACGGAGGTCAGATATGGTCTTAATCCTGTCTTCAAATGTATTAACACTTACAGAGCAAAGTGTCATTTGGAGAAATAATTTCAAAGCCTCTTAAAGAGAAGCATCTCAGAGATGCATGTAAAGTCATGTTTTCCTGCCGACCCACTGGGACTGATCTTTAGCTGAAGTGCTGCTAAAGATCACACTCATCAAATTCATACTGGATTTTAAAGTTCTCTGGATTCATGGTTGTGTATTAAATATRGAACTGGAAAGAGTATTTACCTCCTAGAGAGTAAAGAAGCTTCATGAGCTGTAGCAATCAGGATGGAAAATCTCAGGCCAAACAGTAATGCTGAATTCATGTTATGCAGTCATCATTTTAGGTTATATGAATAATTACGTGAACTGCATCAACTAAAGCAACGCCCTTAGCAATTCAAAAATCAGAAAAGAGCTTACAAAGGTTGAATTTCCACCTTTTTATAAAATACTTTTTGAATTTTACCTTTCAGTCTTGAGCCAATAACCTCCTAYAGCCATATTCACAGGCTGCTGTAGAGCTGCCCACTACACGCAGCAGGCTGGTGGTTTGGTGGGACACGGAAAGCTTGGAYAGTAACGTATCTCTTGGTTGTGTTTCCCATGGAGCACACAGCAGAATGGTCTCACCTTGAGGAGTAAYGTAGGTCRCCCTGTTCTGTGTTTCCCAGTGGGRTCAGTGATACTGTGGTACTTTGCAGGGCCTGAAGGCTTGTGAGAGTTTGAATGGGCTGTGCTCCTACAGAAAGGAGAGAAAGCCTTGGCATTTGGGAGCTTAGTGTTTTTATAGGTGGCAAATTCGGGAGAGCAAACATTTCTTGACAAGTAGAAAGCAGTTTGTAGACATTTCAGTTTACTTTATGTCTTACCAGTTAGTTGAGACGTAGCAAGCAGCACTGGCACAGTTATAGTGATTTGCCTCTGCAGGGTGACATTCTTTCTGGCACATCACCTCAAATGAGTACCAGGTGCGAAGGCAATGGAGAGAACACCCTGTGTCTGTGACTGCCTCAAAAAATGCCCTGCCCTGTTACTAAATCTTCTAAAGTATATGCATGACTATCACAAGTTGTAAGTGTCTGGCCATTATGCTTTTGCTGGAAGCAGTGTTTTGGATCTACTTCTTTYTGGGTCTACTACTGTGGTAGCGGAGTATTCTCATGCACATCCATATCCATATTCATGGATATGGTTATGGGCTTACCCCACACAGCAGGAGCAAACGCTTTCCCATGCTTGAGCCACAGAGCTTTGCGTCAATGCACACGTGCACACATACGCGCACAGTCCTATTCTCAGTTCTTGATGTTTACACTTACTCTGGTAAAAGTGACAATACATTAGGGCAAGTTACTGTGAGGTACAATGAAAATAATAGTATCACTGAGAATGAGTCATATGTGCATACATTTGGGATCTCATTCTTCAAACAGCAGTGAAGAGGAAGGCTTTGGGACCTCCTTGCCAGTAATAAGAGAGTCTCCCTGTAGTGAGTGTTTGCAGAGATGTTCTCTGGTCGGTATGTTCTGTGCAGTTCCTCCTTCTTCAACATGCAAGAGGTGAGGCAGTTGAGGCAGACGTAGGTAGCCTACATGTTCCATCGCTGCCTGTTACTTTGATTGTAGATTAAACAGGAGAGGGTCACGCTGTGTTCGCCTTGTCAAGTAGTTTAGCATTTTATGTTTCTCTGTCAGAGCCAGTAGAGAAACAGTCGCAGACGCTGCTACATGTGTATGTAGCTATGGCAGAGATGAGCTATCTTTTGAGAAATAGGGTGTGAACATATAATTAAAGACTACGGGATGCATTTTACACTCTGTGGCTAAGGTTAAAAAAGAAACAGAGCTTCTCAATTCTGAGTCTCTGCAGTGGAGAAGCTTCTTCTGAAGGAGAGACTTGGGCTTTTTTTTCTTCTTTTTCCCACTGGGAGGACTCCTACGTATCCTAGAAATAGCCAGGGTGCAGCGTGCCCTAGTTACATCCGCTGCACAAGCGCTGAGGAAGGAGCCAGCTCCGAACCCAGTGGTGCCCRCAGCAACGTGCAGCAGGGCGAGCTCCAGCGGCGCCCTCCGCACCCACAGCCACCTGCACGGGACACAGGAGGAGAGCCACGGCCTCGCCTTTGGTCCCTGAGTCTGGAGCAGGGAGCCTACATCAGGGACACGTTTGCTTATCCATGGGCAGCCCTGTGCTCTTCAAGTGATATGGATACAGTCRGGGATCAGGCCCCCTCTCTCTTCTGGCATGGGCCTGGGGGCATTTGGAAGGACCAGTCTAGCTTTGACCTTTCCAGATATCTCTCCAAAAGGGGCAGTGAGCTCTTGCTAAGTTTTCTCTGTATTTCTGAAACARTGGTAGAGAGAGGAAAAAGCTATAGAAAAAAAGCTATAGAAAATGGAAGTTGTATCCCCTCAAAACCTGGCAGGGGACGGAGGCAGCTGCAGGATAGGGAATTCTAGTTTCTTTAAACTGAGCAGGTTTCAGGTTGTGTTCCATGGAAGTAGATTATTTTGTGATTATGGTTAACCCAGAATAGCTAAGGCTGCTTGTAYTAATTACATTGACATGTTGGGTTGTAACATGCTAAAAATATCAGTGCTGATAATCTTTGTCACTTCTTGTTTTCAGCATGGCTATATTCCTTGCACTTACGATCAAGCCACGATGCTTAAAYGGGCCAGGATTTTACCACAAGAGGGGCTTTATATTATTTCAAAAAGAAAACGAGTCTAGACACACACACAAAAAACAACTAGCAAACTCACCATGAGTGGAAGTCATTGAAAAATATCTATCCTTGTGGTATGCATCATATATTTAAATACTAAGCTGTTTGCAGCAACAGGTTGTCAGTCATTACAATTGGGCTTGGAGTGTTGTTGGGCTCTTAGGGCTGATGACCATAGATGTGCTTCCAACACAGGCCTCCAGCGGGTTGTTCCTGGAGGAGCACAGACACATGGCAGGTGCCTTCAGGAGCAGGTTCACAAGTGTTGAGTATGTGATACCTGCAGGCCAGAGCTCTTCCCACCCTCCTCCGGGAGCCCCTTGGGTGTCCCAGGGTGTTTGTGCAGCTCCTGCAAACGCTTCCCGTTCCTGATGATGGTTTCCCTGAACGGGCAGCTGTCTGGAGTGACTGTCTTCAGGGCACCTCAAGCAAAACATTCCTCTGGGTTTCGGGACATGATTCATGCAGTGGCTGCAGGCGCTCCTGGTTGCGAGGTGTGTTCAGATGTGATCACTGGAGCAAGTGCCTTCCCCRCAGTGGGGAGCGTGTTTCTTTTTGGCAGCCTGTATGTCAGAGGTAGTATGTTGCTGAAAGCTGCTTTCAAGCCATTTTTCCCTCCTTTTAAAGTAAGGATCGCATGAAGCGGCAGTCTGCCTCTGTAATGCACAAGTAGGTCAGGGCGCTGTCACGACTGTCTCGCTTACTACCTGCAAATGCAACTTAAAACTATGCTGAATGCCAAATGAAACAGTGAAAGCGAGCGTTTCCCTCTGATTCCCCGGCTCGTGCTCGAGTCTGGAGTACAACTGCAGCAGTGGTGTGATGAAACGCCGCGCTGCCGGCTCCTGACATCGCCTCCACCGGCAGCCTTCTCGAGGCAGACGGCAGAAACGTGGATTGCTTTCCAATCCCGTAGGAGGGCTTGTTTCTGGAGAGCGCTGCRGGCGCTCGGCCGCTTGTCTGTGCGGTGTTGGACGCAGAGCAGCTCTCCGCTGTGAAATGGTGGCTTCTCCCTCAGCTTGAGACATCTGAAGGTAAACCAGCAAGGTCAGCAAGTAGCAAGGCTCACTGGGGTGCCCTTCTGATCATCCTCAGTGGCCTCAAGCTGCGCCAGGGGAAGCTCAGGTTAGGTATTGGGAGAAATTTCTACATGGACAGYGTGGTGAAGCACTGGAACAGGCTACCCAGGGAAGTGGTGGAGTCASCATCCCTGGCAGCSTTSAAGAAACGTGTAGATGAGGCGCTTAGGGACATGGTTTAGCAGGCCTGGTGGTGATGGGTTTACAGTTGGACTGGATGATCTTAAGGGTCTTTTCCAACCACAGTGATTCTGTGATTCTATCCCTGGGGATCTCCTGACGTGAGGAGATGGGAGAAAGCTCTTCMTATCATTGACCCGAAGGAATCTTCTAGAAAATCAGCAGTGGCTAAAAAAGAAAGAAAAGATGCTTTGGCTTATTGAAAACATGGGGCCTGGTGCTTTTTTCCTGCTTGGGTGAGATAAGCAGCCCTGCCTCCAGCTTTGCTTTGCCCCATCACTCCTGGTGCTGAGGGCTCCATGCTTCCCGAGAGCAGCAAAGACCGATGCAACTCCAAGCCTCCCAGAAGGCGCTGAGCCCCATGCCCTGCCTCGGGAGCCCTCCAGGGGTTCAGCAACACAGGCAGTTCCATCTCCATGTGAGGAGGAACCTCTTTGCTGTGAGGGTGCCAGAGCCCTGGCACAGGCTGCCCAGGGAGGCTGTGGAGTCTCCTTCGCTGGAGATCTTCCCAAGCCGCCTGGATGCCGCCCTGTGCCCCGTGCTCTGGGTGTCCCTGCTGGAGCAGGGGGTTGGACYGGATGATCTCTAGAGGTCCCTTCCAACCTCAACCATCCTGTGAGTCTGTGAAGGGTGCCGAGCGCCGCCAAGGCGCGGCCTCCCGAAACAGGGCCTTAGCTGCTCCCGTAGGCCCGGCCTGGCGTTTCACCGCGCCGAGCGGCCCCCACACGATTCGGGAGCCGCAGGCGGCAGCCCGAAGAGCAGCTCGGTGGCCGTTGAGCGCCACCAGCACCCAGCGTGCGAGCAAACCAAGGGCAAAGCCTGCCCTGGGCCGCGGGGCCGCCGCGCCGGGCCTGCCGCCGCCCCACAGCGCAATGACGACGTCTCCGTTTCGTTGGCAGATAATCCTGAAGTAAGGAGCAGAAGCGGAACGGAATGTCAAGAGGCCTCCCTGCGATCGGCAAAGCCCGGTTACTGTACATACTACCCTGTCTCCTCCTCTCTAGAGTTGCCACAAACTGCATGCTAAGTAACGAGTTTGTTCTGACGGACAAATCACACAAACTCTAAAGGAAAAAAAAAAAAAAAAAGTTAAAAAAAAGTAAAAAAAAAGCTAGTGCTGCTATGTTATATATGAATATTAAATATGGTATGCTTACTATATTCCAACCTAAAATAGTTAACTACCTGATACCAGCTGTGATGTTTCAAGACATAAAGGGTAACATTTAGTTTTAAAGGTTTTCTAAACATAATTTACTTCTTGCGAATATTGTCTCCATAACGATAACCTAACACAAACGGTCCAATTAATTTAGTCTTGGGAGATTCAGCGTTTCTGAATCTTTCAAGTTCAGCAATAATTAATTTGTATCGGCTAAAAACCTACTCCAGTTGCAGGTTTGATTTTAACCCCTATTATGAATGGGTTTCTTCCTCTTGGCTCTAAATCTTGGTTTTGCTCCCCTCGTGAGCTTATTCCAAGACGAAGGAAACGAAACAAAGCCCAGCGTCCTGCACGTCACCCTGCCAATCTAAACGTTTTAGCCAGAAATCCAAAGTAAAGCACAAATTCTGTCGATGCAGAGAGTTGATGTTCGACTTCTATGGAGAAATTGCATTGGAATCATAGCAGAATAGCAGAAGAAAAATAAAAATTTTGCACAGTATGACCTTCATACCCCTCTTTAATCCCCAAAAGAACAAAGTCTTGAAAATATTATTTTACAAGTATATTTATAATGTTTTTAAAAGAGACTTTGCAGAAGTGCCTAAATTTTGTCACATCAGACTTGATGGAAGTGAGCCTGATGCCAACAGTCTAATCTTACAGGAAGCGACTAATCTTTCAAACTCGTAATCAGGTTACCAAAAAGATCCAAGCTGTTAAGAAACAGCTTCTCTAAACGTAAAATCATACAAAAGACCAAACAAACAAAAGAAAAACAAAACAGACAAAAAAAGAAAAAAGGAAGGTGCAGATGAAGAGATTTGTATGATATTCTCACTTAACTAAAATTCAGTTTAGTCACTGAAACTTGACAAGTGACTTTAATCTAGATTAACAACTGAACACTAAGAATGTAGGATGAGATTCAGTTTCATAAATCATTACTGTATTTGCATTTTTAAATTGGATCATAAGATTGTAACCAGATTAGAGTGAAGGAAAAAAATAGTTCTTTTAATTGTTTTTCTTTAAAAACATATTTTGTGTCACAAAAGTATGAAGATATCTTTAATACAGTTATATACATATTATATATACATACATACATATATATGGATGAAGCAGATTTTAATGTTGTTTACTTTTTTAAATACTTTGTTGATTTACAAGGTAATTATATATGTATAATTAAAATTTCATTTGTTTGATTTGAGATTTGTTTCAAGCACTATTGTACCAAATATTTCATATTTCACATTTTATATGTTGCACATGTATCACATGAACTGCATAGTTTTTAAATTATTGTTTAAAAAAACAAGACAGCTGTTATAAGTGGATATTATGTATAATTGTTTGCGGCATAAGTTTTCTATGTGGACATTATTAGTGATTGCAGTATTTTAACTTAACCTCTTCAGATTGATTGTAAACTATTTGAAACTTTGGCAGCACTGCCTGTTCTGAAAGACTGAAGGCACTAACCGTATAATTATTTGTCTAGGAGATTATTTTCCGGGCTAAATCTTGTTTGTCCAATGTCTAATTACTATCTATTTATATATAAAGCTGGAGATTTGATCATCCGAAAGAAAACAAGTAATCACAATTCGATTGTAAAATTAACATAGTGCTTGTAACGTTGCGTTAGTTTTAATTTGTGGAAAAATAATGTATCTTAACTTGTTACTTTAGCAGTTAAGGTATCACCATTATATACTATTAAACACTAATATTTGTAGACTTTCTCAGTCATTATAACTAGGTAGTTGACACTGCAACTTGCCTATATCTGTCAAAGTTGTTTTTATTTTTTTATAATAGTTAATTTAGGCATTTGGGTAGCTTATTGTATAATACTAAATGGTAAATTATCCATGTTGTTTAAATATTTTATGTAGATAACTCTTCAAAACATGGTTTGTGTGAACTTTTTATGTTTCAGAATAACTGTTATTCTATGTTTTTTACAATTAATCCAATACTACTATTTTTTGCCCATGGATGACGAAGCTTCAGATACATCAGGTCTTTCATCCAGATCAACTGACAGACAAAAAAAAGAAAAAAAAAAAAAAAGAGAGAAAATGTATTTTTAATAAGAGATCCACTTTCCGACTTTATGACTTTGTAATATTCCTAAAAGCTGTACAAGTGCAAAACTATGCTAACAATAAGGAGGCAATTACAGACATGTGCAAATATGTGTACAACAGATTCTGCATTTTATTTATTTATAAAGTAATTTTATAGACTATTTCAAAATTTGGGAAGATCTAAAACTATTTTTCTGTATAAATTTTATTTGCCAAAACTTTGTTTATATTTTAAAAAGCCTAATGAAAACGAGTAAATTTTAAATGCTTTGTTTAATTAAAGAATAAAAACAAAAACAAAGAAACCCCCCCAAAAGAACCATGAGATGGGCCAACACAGAGACAGTGAATACTGTAGCTGAGATAGAATTTCAAGTTACTTGAGATGTCTCAGTCTTTATTTTCTTTAAGCGACACAGCACCTCACCCAAACACCTTTCCGTTTGCCTCTCTCATGCCGAGCAATTGACGACACTGACAGTGAATGTTTCAGTAGCAGGTAAGCCCCTCCGCTCGCCCTTCCCCAGCAGAACTACTAGTGCTCTGTTAAATAGCCATTCTCTTTCCGTTGTGACGTTCAGTTCATCCACCCGATGTACAACCACTGAAATAAAAAGGAGCATTTTAAAACGGAGGCGGAATCGGCGCTTTCCTTGGCCGGGCCTGCGAGGGGGACGGGGCTGACGCATGGACACGTGGCAAACATGGAGGCCTCACACACGACGTGTTGCCCTGGCTCGGGCTGGTGCCCGTGGTGGCCACCGAACGCGGCGGGTTCACACTCGACACGGCGCCCTGGGTCGAGCTGGTGGCCGTGGTGGCCACCAAACACAAGGGGTTCACACATGACGCGGTGTCCTGGGTGGGCTGGTGGCCGTGGTGGCCACCAAACACGGCGGGTTCACACTCGACACGGCGCCCTGGCTCGGGATGGTGGCCATGGTGGCCACCGAACACGGCAGGTTCACACTGAACACGGCGCCCTGGCTCGGGCTGGTGACCGTGGTGGCCACCAAACACGGCGGGTTCACACTCGACACGGCGCCCTGGCTCGGGCTGGTGGCCGTGGTGGCCACCGAACGCGGCGGGTTCACACTCAACACGGCGCCCTGGGTCGGGCTGGTGGCCGTGGTGGCCACCAAACACGGCGGGTTCACACTCGACACGGCGCCCTGGGTCGGGCTGGTGGCCACCAAATGTGGCAGGTTCACATACAACGCAGTGCCCTGGGTCGGGCTGGTGGCCGTCAAACACGACGGGTTCACACATGACGCGGTGTCCTGGGTTGGGCTGGTGGCCCTGGTGGTCACCCAACACGGCGAGTTCACACACGACACAGCGCCCTCGGTCGGGCTGGTGCCCGTGGTGTCCGCCCTACATGGCAGGTTCACATACGACGCAGTGCACTGGGTCAGGCTGGTGGCCGTAGTGGCGCATGGAGGGCATGTGCCCCATGCCAGCCTCCATGAAGGCGTCCCTCGAGGAAGCGCRCGCTCTTCTTCCCTCCTCACCGGCACCACAGGCCCGTGAGTGCAGCAGCGGCACCAGGACAGAGGTCTGGTGGCCTCCTTGCCCTGTCCCTTTCTCTGCCTCGAGCCTCCCTGGCGCTGCCCCTGAGCCGTTTTTAGAGGGTTTTTAGGGGCTTCTCGTTCTGCACGCGCAGGTGTGGGCACGCGCAGCCGTTGCCTCAGCAGGGTGGCTCACAGCATGCGATGCTTTGGGGAGTGTTGCCAGTGCGTTATGCTAGTTTTTCTTCCCACCCCGGCATCTCGGAGAATATTATACGAACAAGTAATCCCTATTACTAGACCCTCTTGGGAAAGCGGCATCTCAGAGGAGTTTGGTGCCTGCGGGCAGAGATCACCCAGCTAGCTAGTGACAGGGAAAGGACTGGAACAGCGCCGCTGAATTCTTCACAAGACGGTCGTGGTGCTTGTGTTGACACCAGGGCAGAACCCCGTGCTGTCAGCAGAGAAGCCAAGGGAAACACGATGTACAGCTTGGAGTGATGGAGCCAGGCTTTCCTGAACACATCAAACCTAAGTGAAGAGCAGCAAACACCGTGACCTGCCTCTTCATCAGTAAAAGCTGTAGACAGGGACACAACCTCAGGTTTCGTGGAAATGCAGGACTGGGTCCATTGGCCAAGGTAACTTTACCCCATGTGGCTATCAGGCACCTTTTCATGATCATCTCTTTCTTAAATACTTCAAAAAAAGCAAGTAAAATTCCTGTCCCCTTACGAGTGTGCAGAATCGGGAAGAATTTGTGTCATAAATTTGTACACATTGCGGCAGCCCAGGGCTGGTTTGAAAGGGCCCAAGGTCACAAGTAACATGGAAAACCACCAGGGCAACCCATTAGTTTGGAGCTATCACTAGTACAGCAAGCCAGGGACCTGCTGAGAACAAACATGTGAGATGGAGAAGAGCTACAGGGGTGACTTGAAAAGACAGAGAAGGCCTGGCAGATGGGAGGGTGGTGAAGGCATTGTAAAGAAGAAGGAGCAGAAGATTCAGATCTCCTCATGGTTCAGGACAGGAAATATGTCAGTTTACACTTTCTTACAGAAAGCCACAGCCTGCAGTGACTTTTTAGATGGCTGTCAGCTGCCAAGAAGGGTCCGAACATGTTGATTTTCGTGTCTAAAAGTCGTGTTGTTTCTTGCCAACTTGGGCACTTGGAGCGGCAGCTGGGAAGTGCTTGTGGGGACCATGAGCCATGCTGAGCAGGAGAGCCTCGTGCGCCTTCTTCAGGCAACACTGGGGTTTCCAGAAATGACACAAGGCACTTTCTGAGAGGTGAGAATGTAGAAAGGCCGAGTGTTCCCACCAGGCAGAGGTGGACATGGCTGCGGCCTGGGAGCCTCCATATCGTCAAGCATGTGCCGGAGCTCCAGCCGGGGCATCAAATCTCCACAGGGAGCAGCCGCTTGCCCCGGGCCAAGTTTATCGTATGAGGAGAGACTGAGTTGGGCCTGTTTAGCCCGGAGAAGAGAAGGCTGACAGGGGATCTGATTAACATGTACAAGCACCTGAAGAGTGAATGTAGGGAGGAAGGAGCCAAACTCTCCTCAGTGGTGGCCAGTGACAGGACAAGGGGCARTGGGTRYAAKSTGAAACACAGGCAGTYMCATCTSCATGTGAGGAGGAACTTCTTTCCTGTGAGGGTGCCAGAGCCCTGGCACAGGCTGCCCAGGGAGGCTGTGGAGTCTCCCTCTCTGGAGATCTTCCCAACCCGCCTGGATGCCGCCCTGTGCCCCGTGCTCTGGGTGTCCCTGCTGGAGCAGGGGGTTGGACTGGATGATCTCTAGAGGTCCCTTCCAACCTCAGCCATCCTGTGAGTCTGTGACGCAGCAATACGGCACTGCTTCATGTCTGCCCTCCCGAGCGCAGACTGGCTGGGTCCACCCTCGCATCTGGCTCCGTAGCTCCTCTGGCCCCACGGGGTGAGGCCATGACCATAATTACTATTTTTGCCGTGGTTTTGTTTGCTTTCCGGTTCCAAAGCCTGAAAATAGCGCGAGGGCTGTTCTGCAGCCTCCTGGAGGCAGCAGCGTGAGGGAGAGGCYGTGTGTGGCACCGAGGGCTGCTGCTGCGATGGCTTTGGATGCTTGTGAGCGGCGGAGGGGCTGCAGGTGGTTCAGCCCCGTCCACGCGGCGCGCTGGGAGTGCCCGCTGAGCGCGCTACCAGAACAGCAGCTGGGTTTCACTCCAGGAACAAGCTGCTGTTTCACTGCAAACGAGAGCCTGGGAACAGCCCAACGCCTGCGTGGTGGGGGACGGCGAGAGCAAAAGGACTTGGGAGCTGGGGTGCCTGACAGGGCAGACATGCTCGGCAGGGAGGCTTCTGCTAGAGGAATTTATTGCATGAACTCACTGGACCCCCCAAAAAGGACCTCACTGGAAATGCTGGAAGCTCCTTGGCATCTCATCATATGCATCCCATGCTCTTCGTGCCTGAAAACGTTTCTTTATCCAAGCCTTTCTCTGAGCCACCTCCCTTTATGTCACGTAACTGACAGTCCTGATGGCTTTCCCTGTGTCTCAAGATGATTTTTATTGCTGCTGTGGAGCGGGGCGACACCATCCCAGCTGTTGCATCAGGGCAGTTGCTATTTCTGGTATGCAGTGCATTGGAGCACACAATGATAGGTATAAAATATGTATAGCTAGATTATGTGCGAACGAATAAATTGTAGAAATGTCTTCCAAATTCTTGCTCTTACAATTCTGCAATTACAGGAACTATAGAACTTGCAGCAAATAAATTGCAGGTTGTTATATGAAAATACTTTCTGCAGCAAGAAGAAAAAAAAAAACATGAAAGAAGATATTGATGTGAACTGCTTTTGGCAGTGCTGTGTTTGCAGTTGCATTATAACCACTGAAATTTCTTTCAGAAATGAGGAAAATAAATGTGTAGAAAATAAATGTAGATTTACGGTTTGGGAAAACCAGTACAGGAGGAACATCGAGCTCCTCTCGTCTTCAAAGAGCTGAGTTTGGATACTGCTTTTAAGGAACGCAAGCCTTGGCGAGTGCCCTGAGTCTGTGTGGTGTTAGCAGACGTGCGAGCGCAGCCGCGCACAGTGGGCGCATCCTGCAGGAGCAGGGATGATGGCTCGGGTGCCTACGCTAAACCCGGGCTGGGCTGCTCGTACCGATGCGTTTCCTTTTGCCAAAAATGCCCATCCTTTCCATGAGAAGGGTGGAGGGAAGAAGGGAAATGCTCCTGCACTGGAGGAGTGTAGATCTGGGTGGATTAGATGCCCCAGGTTCAGCCTGCCAGTCCTACGCAGATTTCTCTGCAGATAGTCTGCAGCAGCTCGGGTGGCTTCAGGCAATGAGTCCCACTTCTCTTTGACTGTCAATCTAAAAAACAATAGAGGTTTTTTGGATGGATTTTAAGACACTGTCAAATACAAGCCCTGCTCTGCAAGTGGAAATCCTGGGTCGTTCTAATCTAGGCCGATCCCTTGAGAAATCCCTGGGCTGGTCTTACTCTCTGTCCCTGGCAACTCCTCCTGTGGCTTGAGGACTTTTAATTTCACTTCTTTGAACTGGATGTTGGGAGCGGCTGAGCCTCTTGAAGTCCTGATCTGATTTAGAATTGCAGGTGTGTATCAGCTTTTTGGGTTGCTGCTTTTCTGCCCAACTTGTTTAGCTGTCAACCAACTCTACGCTTTCCTACTCGCAAATACTCTGCCAGATGTAAACACTATTTATGTGGATTGCCAGAATAGGGGTACTTTGCCTCTGGCTGTCYGTCTCTGCATGCGGGCCCACTGAAGTTGGTCGGTTGGAGGAATAACAGGTATATTTTTACCACCCACCCGCAATTTAGCTCTAAAGCAAGCGGCCACAGGCTTGCTATATTAGGAGATGGAGAGAGAGGGAGGGCCRGTGAGGGCAACAACTTCAACTCCTCTGCAGAAGGGCCTCTTAGAGGAGCCTCTCCAGCCCTGCGGCCACTGAGATGCGGAGGTGAGTGTCCCCCTTGGTGCCCGTGGGGACATACAGCCACACAGCTCCCGAACACCCGGATCCTCCTTGGTGTCTCCTCTGGGCATATGTGCACCAAGGGAACCTGGGGTTGCCTGCCAGCTTTTGCTCCTCTGGTTCTCCCTCTTTTTTTGTCTGAGGTTAGTTTATTAAGTTTATTACTCTTAAAACATCTTGTTCTCCTTTTCTTTCCTGAAACAATGCCGGCGTTCTTCTTTTCTCCTTTTCACCTTCACATGGAGCTTGTGGCCCTCCTTCCACCATCACAGTTCTTTACCACATCGTTTGTGCCCATTCGTTAGCTCTAATGAACAAGTTTCTCCTGCCCGCACAGAGAAACACAGATTGAGCAAAGTCTGAGCTGTAAGAAGTGACCCCTTGTTCAGCCATCAAACACCTTCCCCAGCGCTACGCTCGCCCGTGAAAGTGAATCCTTTAATACTCAGAGAAACTCAGAGAAAGAAAAAATAGTTATTTTGCTACTGAGAACTAATAGCTGAGCTGCTCTCACCGGTGTGCAGAGACCTTCATCTGGTTTTGCCTGCTTCTGGTGACCCTGGGCTCCACATGAAGAGCCCTGCTATTCTGGACCGCGTGGCAGAGTTTCCTGCAAGTGTTGGTCAGCCCGTGCGAGGGTCATTTCCAGTTAGACCCCRGAAAATCATCCATTTTTGCAACTGCAGGAAACCACAACGGTCTGAGTATTTCGGATGCTTAATTACAGACTCRCTCCGTGTTGAAGGTGGAACGGTCAGGCCCGTCCTAGGGGAGCTGTATTTCATGCAGGCAAGGACTTGCCTGCTCCATGCCGTAGTCTGGGATCAAGGGGAACGTGGAGCAGGAGAGTTTTACTCCAAGCTGCCTACAAATGCACCCCGCTTCAGAAGCAGCTCTCTGCTTCTAATTATTTGTTGCAGAAAAAAACTGGCCTGTATCGTTCACAGTGAATTTTATTCACAGGAAATGTTSTGATGAGAGCTACTGAGCTGAGTATTGTGCAAATCTAAGGCAAAGGGAAGATGCGGAGCAGTGAGAGAGCTTCACACTGCAAGAATTCGGTGGACACGTACCAGGAAAACAAGAACAATGTTCTCTTTGCTGCTTCTTACTTCTATCTACACCTCCTGGTCACTCTCTTTAGGAGACTAGAAGAGACTAGTGTCACTTCTTATTGGCAAGATGAACTTTGGTTTTTTTAATAGACTCACTTGGTAGTTTATGTCCTTTTTTGTTTGCTTGCTTGCTTGTTTCCTCTCCTCTGTCTTTAATTTTATCCATAAGGCAGACACGCCTCTGTGCTATGTGATCAGCCTTCCAATTTTTGGTGAGTGCAGCAGATATATTCCTTTTCAGGAGTAACTATCAGAGGAACTGCTTTCAAATCCAACTTTGCTGTGCAATATAATTACTCCTGTTTAAACAAAAGACTCCAGCAGTGCTACTCAACAGCACCTCTCTATACAAAGCAAGAGTTGTTTCCTCTCAACGCAGCTTTCGTTCTGCTCAGAAAATTACTCAGAATCAAACTGATTTCAGTCAAAGTGGCCACATCAGCGATCATATTATATTCAATGGAATCATTTTTTTAATATCACAATGAAAGCACTTTATTTTATTTCCCCTTGTTACTATTATCACAACAGAAGCTTCGGGGAGAAACAGCCGCCTCCCCTTCCTTAGCTTCTTCCTGACGTGGCTGCACCCTGCTCCATGCTGCAGGAGCCTACGCACCTCAGCCCGTTTGCAATACCATCAATGAAAGACGGGCTCGATGAGATTTGGTGTTTGCAGAACCTGAACGTTAGACTCAGCCTATGCTCTTGGACCCCAGGCCTGCGGTTGGGCTCTCAGCAGGGAGCTCTGCAGCAGTGGGGCTTGGCAGAGCGGGCGCAGCGGAAGGGACCGACCTTTGGCTCCCAGCAGGGCCAGTCCCTGCCAGGACTGAAGGAACACACCAACGAACAGCAGTAAGAATCCCAGAGCTACTGCTGCTTTTCCATCGGTGCCAACGTGGTGTTTCCTACGGCACTCAGTAACGGGGGGTGCTGGTGAGCAGGCAGCGATGTGAAATGATCCCGCGCTGGGGCGTCGCTGGAAGCTCTTCACATCGCTCTGGCTTCACACATCAAACGAACTTGCGTCGGTGGCTCGGTGTATTGACAGCAGCAACGGCCTCCACAGCTGCCTCGTACGGTGTTCCCGCACGGGGGAAATACGACGTTGTCCCAAATAAGCCCGCAAGGTCTCCTCCCCTTCGGGCATTAGCAATAGGAGGCCCCTGTAAGAAGCTGGGGTAGGAGATAGGGAAGCGTGGGGTCTCCACAGCGCGTCTTCTCCTGGCGTCCCACTGCAGGGCTTTCTTCTGYATCCCCCGCTGGAGCCAGGAGCTGCCTGGCCTTGGAAATGTCTCATTTGGCCCCATTTCCTTCTTGCAAAACACTGGGGGACAGAAAGGAGAAACACGGATAGCTCTATTCCTGCCGCCCTCGGCCGGCTCGGCTGCAGAAGGCCCGGGGGAACAGGAAGGTTTTCCGGGGCTGGTTGGAGCAGCCGGGCGGTGAGGAGCCCTGCCAAGCTGCCGGCCCTTCACGAGCAAGGCCTGGTTTTGGACCAGTAAATTAAGGAGGTTGGAGACTCTGGAAACGGGCGAGCACCACACAGCGACCCCCGTGGGAGGCAGCTCCATGAGCTCCCGCTCTGCCCATGGCAGGGGCCTCCCTCGGCGCCGGCCCCTTCGGGCGAGCGGGATTGGGTCTCCGTGGAATTTGCCCTGAATAACGAAGCCCATGCAGTGCCCACCTTGGAGCCTGCACTAACTTGTGCTGCTGCTGCGTCACGGCAGGCTTTCCAGGCACCTGCCTCTGCTTCCTTCCCCCTGGGCCTTCCTCAGCCTCTTCCCTTCACATTTCCCTGTATTTCTCCAATGCTCTGCCTTAGGCCCTAGCCTGCAGCTGCTGCCCAACAAGCCAAGCCCTCCCTCCACACGTGTGTCCTCCTGGGGGCCTGAGRCACCGGGTGAGGAGCGCTGGGTTGGCTTTTATGGATTAGGGGTGGGCTGAAGGACCCCCTCAGGGCACCTGTATCCCTTTAGGGGTGAACTCTGCATTTSTTTTGATGAAAAGAAAACAGAGACGAAACAGGAGACCCCTCTGCACATGCACAGCTCACGCGCTCTGCCCTCGCTGCCCTGCAGTGTCTTCTAGCTCTGGGGGGCAGTAACGTTGCTGCTCCGCTTCCTCCCTTCTCTGGCTATTTCAGGCTCAGAATAGGTGATTGCTGGCAAAGGTTTGGCATGGAGGAAAAAAGTGCTAGCCTGCAGCCATCCATCCAGCAGCGGGGCTTGTCTCTCACTCTGGGCTAAATGCCTGAAGGCTTCGCCTTGGCCTTGGCCCACGTGGGCCACAAAGAAACTCTCTTCACCGTTACGCTCTTCTCCAAGATGGAAACGGCCACGCTTCGAAGGACACTGGGGCGCACTCTGAGCCGATGTGCAGAGCTGCCTTCCCCTATCGCTGCCTCCACGTGCTGCTGCCTAAATCCAGGCACTCCATGCCTAAGCCCTGGGCCAGGCCTGGGCCAAAGCACCATTTACGTTGGCCTTGGCAGCCTGAAYGCACCGGTATTTACACAGCAGCCCCACAGATCCCAGGGGTCGCCTCCGCAGGTCACGTAAGCCAACGGAGCTTTAAGTTATTGGAGTCTATGCCAATTTATAGCAGCTGAGACCCTGCTGGAAAGTTTGCAAGGCCTCGGAAATACTGCAGCTAAGACTAGTCTTGGTGTTCATTTCTCTTACACAGTGTTAAATAGATGTTTCTATSAAGTGAGTCTGTGTGACAGTGTATCAGGGGGACAATCCATTTCTTGGGCAYTGACTAAAATACAAGAAAAAAAGGAAATAAAGGAGTGCAAAGAGAGCTGTAAATAGTTCAGTTAAGCAAAGTAGGSCTCTCTGTCTTTGCTTTGAAAATGGATTTTTTTTTGCCTTAACTTTTAAGCCTTAACTTTAACTTATAATCTTTTTCCTGTACAACTATGTAATTTTAAATATGAGACAATATTATTTCCTGTTCAAATTGGCAAGAATAAGCCACGTTATAAAAACCTGTGATCATGACTGGGTTTAAATACAGCACAGCGGTGTCTGAGCCTGTGCACATGTGCATACACACACACAGAATACGTTTAATGTATAGACCCATATTTACATAGAACATGCCAACTGCATGGTCCCTTTTCAGAATATGAAACAGATTTTTTCAACACGCTTCTAATGATTTTAAAATAATTTTGCAGTAAGTATAATGAAAAGCTTACTTAGAAGAACATCTTATTAGAAGTCCTTAATTAGGCATGTGATGGCTGATCTTCTTCCAGAATTTTCTTTCAGTTGTGTGCATACAATTCTTAAACTTCCATGCTTCATTTATAACCAAATGGTAGCTTGGATGAAAGAGTCCACCTGACAACACAAAGATGCAAACCTAAGGATTTAACCATAAGGTTAAAAACATTATTTTGCCATCTACATTATTAACTTTTTTTTCTTTCAATAAACAAATAGTAACAAATACTAACAATAAATCCTTGGACTTGAACATATTAAATCCATTTTCTTATGTAAGAACAGTAAAGGCAACACAGATTTATCGTACCACGCCATAATCCAGCAACAGGGCACTTAGTGGAATATACATGGAATAGGGAATGCTCATTAGCTGGGATGATGATGCAAAGCTGAGAAGGACATGCACGTATGTTGGAGGACAAAATCAGAATTTGAAATGGTCTAGGCAAACTGGAAGACAGCAGTATGAAAAATATGTTACAATTAGTAAGGACAAGTGTGGGAGCCTCAAGGCTCTGCATCAAACGGGAGAGGAAGCACAGGGGTTGATACGGGGAGAAGCTGGGGGAAATGCTGGGGCTCCTGCCCCTAGTGTCCCTGTCCAAGCTAATGCATCGTGAGGATGCGGCCTTGGTAAAGGTGAGTCATGAGGACATTAGATTAAAAAGAGCCAAGAAATCACATGAGAAAGAAGTTTACAGCAAGATGAAGAACCAAAGACATCACAAACAGGCAACCAAGAGATACTCTTCCTTGCACTGACGCATCATAACCTTGATTTAGGTAAATACAAAAGATAATGCTTTTTTTTCCCCTTGCACTGCTAAGTAACTAGACAAGAAATCCAAGGGTGAGAAGAGCATTGATTTGGAAGATGAAAGGAATGAAAAGGCAAACAGGAAGAAGAGAGAAACTAGTTGGCACAGCCTTGAGAAGACAACCGAGGGTCACTTCCAGGTGATTCATCACTCACCTCAAATCCTGCTACATTCATCCCAAACCTGCAAGGAAATCTTGCTCAAATCTGCCCCCAAAAGTCTGATAAAGCTCAACTCTGTGCTGTGRGACCACATCTCCAAGGAAGTTCCTGAGTCAGGAAAATGGTATTTGAAACTAAAATAGCAGCTTGGCATATTCTAAGTTGCTCCCAAACTATTCTTCAAGAATTTGCCTGCCATCTAATCATCCTTTACTGAAAGGAAATGCAAAGCAAGGCTGGGGCTTACTCTTTGTGTGAGTTTCCGTAAGGAAATGAACTGGGATTCCTGTTGTATTAACAAATGCACTTCCCCTGCCTGCACTTCCCAGTTTACCCCAGCTCTGAAAATCTGCTACAAAGCACTAGTGACAGGGTAGCATTCTCACACAGTACCAAAAGCTTAAAGAAAGGAGAYTGACAGCTTCCTGCCATGCCCCCTCTAACTCCGATCCTTTTTTTTTATTCTTTCCTTTTGTATGAATCTTTTCTCTGTACATAAAACTTCCAATTTTATCAAAGATTTTTGATACTGGGTCTTAAACCACCCACTAGTAGAGCACCCAAACAGAGTATAAATCTTCTGGCTTCTGTTTAAAACAAAGTAAAATCCACAAGGGTGTAGCAAAAACAAGCAATAAAGACTAAAAGGCAAATCTAGTATTTAGTGTTAAAAAGTACCCAAAGCCTGATGATTTTCAGGCCTTTCCTGTTCATCTTTAAAGGACAGTTGTTAKCAAGTTTACACTGATAAATATTCTATATAAAACTCTGGATTCTGAGGCACTTAATTAAAACTTCTGGCTCAACTAGTTGGAGGTTCAGTTCAGCAAGTTCCCTGAAGTGGCAACCCTAAAAGAAGGCAAAAAGAGAGAGTAACTCTGCACTTGAAGCTGGACTCCTAGCCCACATCCCTACCCRAAATGATCTCATCTGTAGATATTTACACGTGCTGAGGGAGGGAGACAGGGCCCCTACTTGGTCTGGGCACATGTGTCCGTCTCTTTGTGGTGGAGACACGTGGCCAGACAAATTGGCTGCAGAGGTTTTCAAAAGGGACCTCATCTCACTTGCCACACGCAATTTTCAGCTCCAGCTCAGTCTGCCCTTAAACCCTACCTCTCTTCATGGACCTTTTGGGGGTCTTGGGTCGTTTGCTGTGGACACTCTGCACAGCAACCCGTATAACTGCTGGTAATAGATGATGTAGATGCAAAAACCCAGAGCAAATGTGTCTACTCAGACATGCACCGACTGATGTAAATCCTGATTTGATCGTTCCTCGGAGATGAAGGTGAACTACTAACCTGTTTCAGAAAATGCATATGTAAGAAATATATATATGAGAAAAAAATGTGTTTGAAAGCTTAATTTACACTGAAACTCACAGCAATCTTATAATTTAGTTCCCAATGTTTTGYTCAAAGTAACCATGTAAAAACTATAGTACCTGTAATATAAGATTTTTATTGACACCTATGAAATCTACTGCCTGCAAAATACAAGACTCTGATGCTGACACACTACTAGTTAGAAAAGAAGAGTTAAATATTATAAGCCTGGCTTTGTGACACATKTAACAAGATTTTAGTGCCTTAATAAAAGTAGACTATCATTATCTTTCTCTTACAACTTGTGATTGGATTGATATATTTTTGAACATCCTAAGGAGAAAGAAAGAGTCAAATGGAATAATAAATTAGCTGCTCTTTGTTCCTTTCACTGTATTTTTAAATCTGGAAACTTCCTCTGTTTTGAACCTACATCTGAACGACAGTTATTTAACTTACCCTCATTGGCAGATTGCTATGTCTTACAACACTTAGATAACCAGGGGAAGCTTTTCATTAAAATTAGTAACATCACCAAGATTTCTCATTTGGTTTCGTTGTGAAACACCATAATAAATCAGAAGTCCACCAATACTCCACTAAAATGATAAAAAAAAACAGGTTACAAGCTAAACCAGAATATTTTCRCTTGCATTTCTAGGTGCTTTGGGGAATGGTTTGATCAAATTTTCTTTCTTAATATAAAAGAGGGGCACAATATCTTCAAGTAAACACAACGACCTTTTTAAGTGAAAAGGAYGGAGAGTGGATTGCACAAAGTAGTTAAAAGATACCAGAGCTGCCCATCAGGGAGTGATCCCCTTCCTYTGAAGGGTTAATTTGTAAGGAAAAAGCGTTAATGAGATGATAACAACCAAAAGATGCCCATTTGCAGAGCTACTCACTTGGTCATCCAGTGGAAACAAAATAAAACACAAGCTGCTGAAGCCTGGATGTTCACTTCCCATTAGAAAATGGAATTGCGGCTAAGCCTTTTGGAGTGCCTGCTCCCCACAGACTCACAGGATGGCTGAGGTTGGAAGGGACCTCTAGAGATCATCCAGTCCAACCCCCTGCTCCCGCAGGGACACTCARAGCACGGGGCACAGRGCGGCATCCAGGCAGGGCTTGGTTGCCTCCAACTGCCTAAGTGTCTTTACAATAGCTTAAAAGAACCCTAGGACTTTGGAAGGTGGATGGCACTGCTGGAAGGTGACAGAGCCACCAGCCAGTGTCTATGAGCACGGCCTTGGCCATTGTGCTCACGCTTGTTGTCCTCTCTGGGTGGAAGGTGCAAGGCACTAATTGAATCAAATACTGCCGGAACGCGGCCTGGCTTGTTTTACTTCACCAAGATGCTCCCTGGGGAGCAATAGGTGTGGGATCAAACCGACTGGAGGTGAGGATGGAGCTAACTCCCATTCTTGCCTCATGCTCTCTACCAGCTGGCAATTACAAAACAGTTAGTCCAGAGATGCTTAAATGAAGGCTACGAGCAGATTCCCGCGGGATGGCCTGTGGAGTGCTCTTTTTCCACGTTTGTCTGTGCACCCTGGCTTTGGGAAGCTCAAAGCYGGGACTAGTTCACCCGGAGCGGGCAGCAGCCTTCGGAGGCAGGCCCGGGAGCGCCGCCCCTACAGCTGGGCACGAGCAGCAGGACCGCCCGGTGTCTGTGTGCCCAGAAGGGCGGGCAAACACCAATCCCTCACTGCACCCTGACTTGGGTAACAACCTGAGGAACAGCCCTAATGAGACAGGTAACGTAACAAGAGGCATCAGATGAAAGAGGAAATATCTGCTGGATCCATCCAGCCTGTCACTCGCTGCTGAGTGTAACTGCAGGTAACTGCACGTGTTCCTGAGGTAACTGCACGTGGTCGCGGCAGTGTGGGGGATGCCAGGACTGCAGGGCCCGCCTGAACGTAACCACATGACACCAAGCAGAGCCAGGCAGTCCCCATGGTCTGAATGAGCTGTGCTGCAAAGACTCTTAGCCATGGAAAACACATCCACACCAGAGCAAAGCTGATGGAGCCGGCATGTTCCTTATCCCACGTGGTCTCCTTTCCCATTAGAAAAGCTGCTTAGCTACTTGCAGAGGCAAGGCTGCACATTTGGGGTTTTTTTTTTGCACTTTGCTCCAGTTTAAACCTTCCCAATGACACTGTTGTTACTGCTCAACCAGCGAACCCTGGAGSGGGAAGATGTGAGAGGCCTCGTTCCTCTTTCAGACTCATGACCCAGCGCGCAGCCAGAGGCTACAGCAGCTAACAAGAAAGTGACGCAAGCGCAAGTTGCTTTCAGCATAAAATTCACCATTCATTGAGGAGCTGCAGCCCCTGGCCAGACAGTGCGGTTAGCCACAGGCTGCTGGAGCCTGGGACGTGGCTGGCGAGCACAGGACATGAAAGGCTCGGGAAGGAAGCCCTCTAACTGCGAGGAGGCCAGCAAGGTCCATCCAGGCCAGCCTCGTGGGGAAGGAAGTCTTCTTTCCCTTGGAACTCATTCCTCTCTTGCGCACCCCCGGGCAGAGAATAACCAGGTATGGGCAGTGCACTCAAAAACCTGGGGGCAGAAAAACTGAGAGCACCCACAGAGCCCCACGTGCTCCCATCCCCTCACTATGGGCGACGCCACCRACAGCACTGCGCTTTCAGGGCAGATGTTCCTGCACTTAATAGCTGAATTTTCAGTGCTGTCCTCTGCTCCAAATCAATCAAAATCACAGGCAAAGGGCACAAAATTAGCGCAGAGGCACAGGGTTCAGCCCCATAAATGACATAAGCGAGGCTGCTGGGACCAGCCACGTAGGCAGAAAGTTGGAGTCTCTTCCAGCTGACCACCCTATGCCTCCCCATCCTGCAGGCCACATATATGGTCTATGTGTATTGATTACTTTGCACACTTCTTTAGTGTTTGCACACATCCCTCCACCACTGTCACTACTTTAAGGAAAAAAAACTGGCCTGCTGCCCCATCAACTCCAACTGTTTTATCAAAGAGAGTGAACACGTGTTGTAAATCTTTGGGTGAGGACACTCCTATTGCTGAACTGTCATCCTTGTCGTTCATCAAGACCAGACAGCCCCATAACGAGCACGAGGAGCCCACTGTAGCTTCAAGGACGCCCCCATCTCCTCCCCTCCTCACCAATCAAACCTGCTCTGTGCRACTGCTCACCTCCCTCTCCCCATTTTACACACTTTACAGCCCGTCAGCCACTTTCACCCCACACCAGCCTTACAGGAGGGCAAAAATCTCAGCTGCTGGAGTCTTCCTTTACCTTTCTCTGCAGACTTGCATGCAGTTCAGACGCCTGCTCCTCTTTCAACACTGTTCTCTGGTCTACAATCCTACTCCTTGACTCTGCCCTCCTTAATTTACTACACACAGCCCAATCCCTCCACCGGGTTTGGTTTTGGTAGCTTAATGAGACAAACACTCGCACTGCGCCCCTGTGAATAAGCCCTGGCCTTTTCCTGGCCTTTTCCTCCCGGCCGCTCTTCCGCACAAGCTCCTCTTTGTGGGAGGCCCTCACTCCCTGGCGAAGCGGGGCCCAGGCGGCGCCCCAGGACCGTCCAGGAGCGCTAAAACGCCGCAAGTCGACCCGGGCCACAGAACCGGACACCGGGCGCGGGGATTTCGGCGCGGGCCCCGTTATGGCCSCTCATGGCCCCCCGAGCCCGCCCCGGGCGCCGCCGCCACCGCCCTCACCCGGGGCCACAGGCCGCAACGGCCGTAACGGTCGCCCCGGGGCAGCCACTTCCGGCCGCCAGGCACCCACCCCCTCGCTCTTCCCCCAGYCCCCAGTGCGCGCCGCCATTGGCTGCGGCCGCACGGCGCGTCACGGCCTCGAGGGCGCTGATTGGCTCTCGCGGAGAGGCTTCGGGGCGGGGCTTGGCCGCTGTCGCCSTGGCGACAGGCCCCGAGGAGACGGGCAACGGCCGCCGCCGGCGTCACGTGGGGCCCTCGCCGCGCTCGCGGATTGGCCRGCGGCCCGGGGACGGGGGCAGGAGGCGCCACGTGACGCGTGGCCCCGCCCCTCCGTCTCCGCCGCTCTTTCTTCCTCCGCGGCGCGGCGCGGCGGGGCGTGTCGCGGTCTCCGATTGGCCGTCGCCGTGGCGACGGGGCGGGCGGGGGCGTGCCGCGGGCGCCCATTGGCCGTCGCCGTGGCGACGGGG